AGGAGGACCTCATGCACTTACTGCAGAGGGTCAAGGACTGCAGCCTTCAGTATGGACTGAGGCTCAATGTCAAGAAGACAAAGATTCTCACCACTGGACCAGTCGGTAGCATCAAGATGGATGGCAAAGAGATTGAGATTGTTCACAGCTTCAGTTTGCTCGGCTCCATGGTCAACACTCTTAGCACCAGCAGCCAGGAAATTAAAAGACGTATTGTGAGGGGAAAGTCTGCTGTTAGGGACCTCTCTAAAGTACTCAAGAGCAACGGTTTCTCTCTGGAGACTAAGGTGTGCCTGATACAGGACATGGTTTTTGCAATCACTTGTTAGGCATCAGAGAGTTGGACAATGACTAGGAAGGATAGAAGAATTGATGCCTTTGAGCTGTGGTGCTGGAGAAGAGTACTGAATGTACCATGGACTGCCAAGAATACAAATAGATTCATCCTAGAGAGGGTTAAACCAGGCTACTCCTTGGAGGCAAGGGTTCTGGGGCTTCGTCTGACATACTCTGGACATGTTGTAAGGAGAGACAGGTCTTTAGAGAGGGACATCATGCTGGGTAGAGTAGAGGGACAGCACAGGAGGGGAAGACCCTCTATGAGGTGGATTGATTCAGTGACTGGGGTAATCAGGATGGGTGTGTCAGAGGCAATGAGATTGGCACAGGATAGAGCAGGGTTTAGGGCTGTTGTACATAGGGTCGCTATGAGTCGCAAACGACTCGACGGCACATAACAACAACAAAACAAAGTATCACAGATGAAGTCTATTAGATAGATGGTAGTTAAACAAGTGAAAAGTAGAGAAACATTGTTGAACAAAAGGAAGAGCATGTGAATCCCAAGAAGAAAGAGAGATTCCACACACAAATTAATGAGCCTGATGAAATAGCTCAAAGTAAGTAAACATGGCTGGAGGTTAGAATGGTAAAGGTATAGAAGAGAGTGATGAGAAAATACAAAAAAAGAAGGTCAGAAGTGCACTCGTCCCCAAAAGGCCATCTGATAGGTCCTGTTGTGGTGACTGATTCATGTTGTTACTGTTATTAAGTGCTGTTGAGTTAAGCGCAACTCATAGGAACCCTATAAACTGGAATCTTGTTCTATAACTATCATTGATTCTCTAATGTTCTTAGAGTTTCTAAAGGCATATTGTTTAGAAAGTGGATGCTAATCATGCTTCCAAGCCTGTCTTAATCTGGGAGCTCCACCAAGCCCTGTCCATGATGGGTAACCATTAAGGCATTTGACACACCAGTGGCACAGCATTCAACATCACAGAAACCTCAATTAACTCAGTACAATGTTGTCTGATGTGAGTGAAGTCAAAAGAAAACCAGTAAGATAAAATGTAGTTTTCCAGAAGCTTACGCTAAGGCAAAAGATATCAGGCTTCTGGAGAACCCCTTTTATTAGCATTCAGAAACAAAGAAATAGTTCACAAAGAATGGAAACTTTAACAATTATTTCATAGGGTTAGTAAGGGCGAAGTACATTGATAGAAAAAAGTCATTTATTAAAGCAAGACTTCTTTGTATTCATAATCTGTGTTTTCTTATACTCATAACAACCTTATTAAGAACAAGAACATCTGCTTCTATCTTCAAGGGAGTACATGTCCCAGGGTGTACAAGAGCTGTTGGCAGTTCTCCTTCTTGGCACGCCTCACATATAAGTCATGCAGTCAAATCCTGAAGAAAGATTTGGCCAAAAGTAACCCTACAGTACAGCAAACTGACAGACTAGTGCTGTACCACTTAGAAGAATGTTCTTCCCAAACAAAATCAACACCAGATCCGAGGTTCTCCTCAGCTTAAACAAGAGGCTTCCAGCACATAGTTGACTGTTAGCTAAATCCAGTAAATCCAATCAACTCATACACTATTGTGAACAAAATAATTTAAAAAAAAAAACCTGAACAGTTTACACCTGACATTCAACTAGAACAAGAGCACTTACTCTCCAGAGTCCAACTACTTCACACATGAGCCTCCAAATTGGACTGATTCATAGTGACTCTATAAATAATGAATTGAAACCTTGCCATCTTGATGGACACCTAATCTCCATTATGTTAAGATCCACTGTTGGAATCACTGTGTCAATCCATCTCCTTGTGAGTTTTCTTCTCTTTCATTGACCCTCTCTGCTTTCCTTGTATGTTATCTGAGGACTCCTGACAGCATGCCCAAAGTATGTGAGATGAAGCTTCACCTCTAAAGGGGTACTCTGGTTGCATGTACTTCCTCCAGGGAAAGTTTATGTGTTGTTTTGGCAGTGCATGGTATATACAACACTTCTCTCCAACACCACAATTCTAAGACATCAATTCTTTCCGAACTTTCTTATGCACTCTCCATCTTTCAGATTCATAGGAGGTTATTGAAAATACCATGGCTTGCGTTATAGGTCATCTCCTCATTGCTGTCACATCAGAACCTACTCATGGTTGACACTCTAGTGGATTTTCAGAGGCTGTAAATCATAAGATTATCCATATTTCTCTTGCAGAGCAGCTGGTGGGTTCCTACAGTCTGCCTTTGGGTTGGTGGTAGATCTCTTTACCCACTAGGTCACCAATCAAAAGTCATCTAGGCTTTGTTAAAGAGTTCACCAAAGTTGCCAAAGAAGGATATGAAATATATCCAGGCTGGGAAGATGAGTAGAATGGCTGGATTCTGCAAAGGTGTGTTTTCTGGTTTGGGGTTGAGACTAGGGTGTGACTCTTGCTTACAATAGGGTGTGAGACGATCAGATTTGGCCTTGCCTTTAAAAAGGCTTTTTGAGCTCTTGGGCCTACAGCCCACAGGCCTGTTTTTTGTGGATCTCCCGAATACAACAGGCTTGGAAGAAGGAGTGGCATCCACTTCTAAAAAAGCTTGCCTTCAGAAACTGTATAAACTTGGAAAAAAGTTAAAAGTTTTGCATTTGAGACTTTCATTCATAGGGTCGCTATGGGTCATCTATGACTCTATGGTACTTAACAACAACAACAGTATAACTTTGTCTTGGAAAAACAAAATAAAAAATCCCATTTCTCCCTTAGAGAGGATAGTGAATTTGAACTAGCAGAGAGGTGCTGCCATTGGATTGACAGCACATCCCTTTGGGCTAGACCATCAGAGTTTCCTTTTAAGTTTTTGAGATTTTGTATTTTTTTTGAGGTTACATTAAGTCATCCAAGAAAGATATGAAACATACAGGGATTTTAATGTAGGATAATATTGCTTTGTTTTTGAAAGTCAGTCGAAACAAGCTAAACAGGATAGAAAAGAAATTAATAAGGAGTTATGAGAGGAAAATAGAAAGTGTGAAAAATTAGGTCTATAGTTTAAGGAAGGGGAGGAGAAAAGAGAAAGAGGGAATTTTTGTTTGGAGCATGAATAGAGCTGCTAGTGGTGCTGCCCTGCTCCTAAGAAACTTCAGAGAGAACTTGTCTGATCAGAGAATGAGACTATGTGTGAAGAACCTCTCCACCTTAATTTATAGAAAACTTAAACCTCTGTTGTAATTGAATTACATCTTTCCACATTAAGATCTTATGATATGAATTAATGAGAGGCCAGGATGTAAAATATAAACCACAGTGAAGAATATGGTTATTAGCTGTTCATTTCCACCACTCATAACACAGACAATTAAAAAGGAGAGGCTGTATAGAATAGAAACAAAACGAAATAAGAAATAAATTGCCAAAGAGAAGAGATTAATTAAGTGTAGTAAGAAAGCAGATGATGAAGCTTAAAAGTGTAATGGAGAAGATAAAGATATATAAATATTCAAGAAGCAGAAAACGAACATAATTTGCTTTATTAATGTACATTCTAACAAGTCATAAAAAACAGCTCCTAAGTAAAATCAAACTTCAAAAATCTAATCATCAGATGCACAAATATAGATATTTAAATTTTTTCTCTCTGTACTTTAATTGTATATCTTAGTCATCTATATTTTTAATGTTTCACCTGCTTAATAATTATGACTCTAGAGGTCATAATTTAGTCATAATAATTATGAATATTTTTTCCATTCAGAAAAAAAATAATCAATGGAACTTCTACATAAAGAACTTGTAACATTTTCTACTTTCTTCCCCTGTACTCTGGAAACCAAAGAATTTAAAAAACATTTTTTCTTTCTTTTTTTAAAACTATTCTTTATCTAAAAATAATTGCCATTGTAATAGATGAAAATACCATTTTCCTTATGTAAGCATAAAACATTCTACCAAAAGGCTCACAGCTATTGTCCTATTCTTTATCTAAATTTTTATTTTGTTTTCAGGGAATGAAAAAGAAAACATAAAATAAATGTAAGACTTAACTTTTATCTTTTTTTAAGAGTTTAAAATGTGAGTTTAAAGAGAGAATATTCATGGTCATTGTCATTAAGTCATAACAAACTCATACTTGACCTTCCAATGAGCTGTGGGAGGCTGTGAATCACACAGAAGATTGCTCATCTTTCTCTCAGAGCAATTCCCTAAGCACTATGTTACGAGAGGTCCCTAGCCTGGTGGTAAGGAGCTGCGCTGCCATCCCAAAGGCACATGGTTCGAATTCATCAGCTTCTTTGGGAGGAAGATGGGCAATCTCCTATGTTATTTATTGCCTGTGAAAAAACTTGATGGAGAGTCAGCTGTAAGTCAATCCTGACTCACTGGTATACAGTAACAACAATCAGAGCTTCCTAAGTGAGTATAGGAACAATTTATCTATTGTTTTAGCCAAGCACACTGGGTATGTCATATAAACAGTTCATGTAAATTCATAATACAAGTTCTAGGGAGCTGTAGAGTAACAATGACCCAAAGCAGGTTGAGTTAAGGATGGAATGTACTTGATAAACCTTAATTTAGAGCTGTCCTGATGAGAGAATGGGTCTATAATGATAGAGGTTAGGAATGAAACAAGTAGGTGGCCTCCTCCCTTCTGAGTTAGATCCCGTGGGTCTTTGCTGCTTGGAACAGCCGCGAAGGTGTTTTTTGCCTTACACGGACATGGAGGAATTTGACTCCGAAGACTTTTCGACCTCCGAGGAAGACGAGGACTACGTGCCGTCGGGTGGAGAGTATAGTGAAGATGATGTAAATGAATTAGTGAAGGAAGATGAAGTGGATGGTGAAGAGCAGACACAGAAAACTCAAGGGAAAAAAAGAAAGGCTCAGAGCATTCCAGCCAGAAAGAGAAAACGGGGTGGCCTCTCATTAGAAGGAGAAGAAGATGTGGCTGCCGGAGCGGAATCTGGAGGGACCAGCAGTGAGGAGGAAGATGGGTCTGCAGAGCAGGAAAAGGGCAGTGAGTCAGAAGATGCAAGAAAAAAGAAGGAGGACGAACTCTGGGCCAGCTTTCTCAATGATGTCGGACCAAAATCAAAAGTGTCTGTTGCAA